AATAGGCCTGCATGAGTTGAAGTTTGGTTAATTTACTTATCAACGTAGAAAATATAATAATAATTAATAACCCTATTTTAGTTTTTTGTTGGTTTATTTAGAGTTGTGAGTATATTAGTTTTATTTGTTTATTTCTCTTTGATTTTTCTCTACCTTATTAATAGCCACCAATTTAAATAAAAAAATATAATCTCAAACATTTAGTGTAATATTACCGCACATACTTTCTGCAATATCATAGTTAAAATTAAATATGAGAACGAACAAAATACATATCAAAGGAAGGGATTCACGTCACGTGCCTCGTATTGAATATTGATATAACGAATTTACTTATTATATATAACATTTACTTATTATATATAACGAATTTACTATTATATGTTTCATTGTGATAAAATAACCTGCGAAGTCTTAATATTGTATTTTTTATAATAATAAAAGTAACATTCTATTGTATGTGTATATTACTTAACGAGCATTAAATGAAAATAAAGATATAGACAAACAAACAAACATTAGTAGAGTTCAGATTGAGGCCTCGCTGGTAAGTCAAAGACCTGTGAAAAGGAAATTTCGATTTTCTTTAATTAAAATGTTATAATGAATAGCGGTATATGTACGTAAGCTACAAAGTTTTGATTTTGAATTTATTTATGTAATTCACTTAACATTACTTACTTAGTTAATGAATATAGAAATATTAAGATAATATTAGAATCACAAGTATTCCAAAACAATCACTATTGTTCCTTTTTATAATTTGTGTGTTTCCTTTGTGTTAACTATACTATTTAGTCGACTAAACTAATAATAGTTAGAAAAGAAACAAAATAAGTACACAAAATTTCTTTTAAAACTATGTTGGTGAAATGTAATAAATACTTTATTAGGCTTCATAAAAGCCATAAAATAAAAAAGCGAAACTTCCAGCGCATAAAAATCATATAATTATATTTCAGAAGTCCTTTGTAGTCCTTTCTCAACAAAAACCAAGTTGTTATAGTTTTAACATTTGCTTACTCATAGAAATTTAATCTCTGATACTGCAGCACCGGTAATATTTTGTTCATCTCTATTTGTCAAAGTTTGTTTATTTTGTGATGAGAGCCGAGTTAAAACGGTAATTGCACCGTTTTTATTAATAATTGGTGTTTTTCTATTAAATAATGAATTCAAAGGTTCCAGGGAAAATAGGCGAACGTGTAAAATAAATTTTCCATCAAAATGCGAGATTTCCAACATAGCAATATTTCAGAATAATCGTATTTCTTTACCCTTACTACATTTGGCACTTAACTCTCCCTAAGTTGGAGATCTAACTTTATTGGAAAGAACATTTATAAAGATGAATCTTGGCCCCGATTCGATGTGTCGTCACCTTTTCGTCGTCGCCTTATAAATAACGAAAAGTATTTCAGAGCGATTTTTGTAGGTTTATATACAGTTGTAACTCTACATTATAAATAGCCACCAATTTAAATAAAAATATTATAGAGTATAAATTAATCATTATTTTCATTGTGATTATGGATTTAAATTACGAAAAGTGATGTTCCGAATTCAAATTATAAATATAGACAAAAGTGTAACGAGACAATTTGGAATATTCAGATTTTAAATAAAATAATAGTGGTCCGTTTCGAACAATTGCCCTTTTTTTAAATATGTAAATGTATATAAGCCTTCGCAGGGTAGTGTAGCACTCTAACGGTGCAAGAATTTTTGAAATCGCTGCAGTTTTGTTTTTATTCATTACAAACATACAATTTTACAATGTTTCGTCTTTATCTTTTCTTCCTCGTAGTCTTCATTACTGTAGGTACGTCGACTTGCTACCTCCACACCACTTCTCCTGCCACCACCCCAAGCTTGTCGAGATTATTCGGTTATCTCCTGGCAATATGGCCAAAGTATCTACGCTAAATGATAGTTGACAGTCTTGTTGATCTTTAGTAGGTGGAAAATGAAATCATTGGTTCTTTTTGTAGTCCATGGTAATCGTAATATTCTCCACCAACACTACGTCTCGAACATTAGCAAAATACATTTTTACATATATTTAATTAAAACATCTCTTTAACGGCACAATGCAAATGCTCAAAATAGACATATGTTTGTGCATTTACAATGGAGAGTGTTCGGATTAATACCTGCAGCTGAGTTTCATCATCGGACGTCGAGGCAGAATACGAAATACCACCCGTATCACCGCGAAGTCCGTCGTTCCACAACTGAGCGTTTTTTAAGGCAGTTTTTGCCGCGCACCACCACTATGTGGAACCAGCTGCCCACTGAAGTATTTCCGAACCAATTCTAATTAGGTTCCTTCTAGAAAAAAGGCGTATTAATTCTAAAATGCCGTCAACACATTCGCGAGTCCTCTGGCATTGAGAGTGTTCATGCGGCGGCGGTATTACTTAAAATGTTCTGTAAAAAAATATTTACCTCCTTACGATTCTTGTCGAAGATATATTATATACAAGAATGTTAATTTCGCATATAAAACTCATTGTAACTTCATCACAGGCTTTCAGTCCTTCAGGCACACACCACCAGCTATTTAATTAAAAGGTTAAAATAATAAAAAAATGTGTCTATTCATTATAAGTACATATATGCATTACAATGTGTAAGATGTGGGAACCCTTTTAAGTAAAAAATACCTGTGTCAGGGTTCCCAGCTCTTTCATTTAGTCCAGCTATTTAATTAACTGTTTATTATTGTTCCTCATGTTAAAGGACCTATCGCAAACAGGTTTCCCAATTCCGGTTTCCACCAAATGTTGTCAACGGTATTGACAAACTTACTAACGAGGCAACTTGTCTCAACACTGCCTTACGAGTTCGCCTCGACGTGGATTTCTAATTGCAAAGCTTTAATCACTCCTTAATTAAACATTATTTTAGGTTGTACATGTGTGCTCAATGTCTGGGCATTAGCGTTATGAAAATATCTATACTAATATAATAAAGTGCTAATGGTTGTAGGATACGTTTTTTTAATATAACAGGGGGCTCATATGATGTTAAGTAACACTACCCCCTATTGCCAGAAAGCTCACACGTGCGTTGCCGGCTTTTTAAGAATTGGTATGCTCTTTTCTTGAAATACCCTAAATCGAATTGATTCGGATATATGTCAGTGGGCAGCTGGTTCCATATAGTGGGTGGTGCGCGGTAAAAACTGCCTAAGAAAACGCGCAGTTGTGGAACGACTGACACATTATTTGCGTCATAACCAAAACCAACACAAACGTCAAGTCAAATCATTTATTTCAATTAGACAACCTAAAATTACACTTTTGAACGTCAAATAAAATATAAAGTTGCCCCTTCAAAAAGTTAGTTTCGTGTGGAGAAGAATGGGCAAGAAACTCCACACTTACTCTTTTTATAGTCAAACGAAACAAACAGATACAGAAATCTGATACCCAGACTTATAATAAAAACCAAACGCTCGTTATACGATTTCATATAAACCAAGTCTCCCCATTAAATTAATATTAATATTTGTGCCTTGTAAGTGTTCGCTAAGGAATAAATGAAAAAAACAAAAGCCTTATAGAGTTGAAACGTTATTAATTAATTATTTTAAAAAATAATTAATAATGTATAAAACGTTTCATAATAAATGCAACACAACGAAAAACTTTAAAGCGAGTTGATCGCAAATATCTAAGTGAACTAATAACAAGACTGGCAATTTCGAGCGAGTGCGCTAAAGTTAATTAGCCAAAAGGAAATAGAAATAACTAAGTGAAAAGTCTGTAATTAACTGTGAAATAACAAGAAGTTGGGTCGGGCGAGGCGGCAGAGCGAACGTAGTTGAGTCGAGTTGGCAAATGTACTTGATACGGCTGGATGGTGATGGCGGGTTTTTATACTTCAAAACGCCTGTCCCCTAGTAATGAAACGCTCAGTTTGTTAATTTAAAAATAGTTCGAAATATATATCGATTTGAAAATGGATTACGCTGATGAATAAATAATAACAACTTCATTATTTCAGATTATACCTATCTATTAGTTTTTCGACTATGTATTTGCGTGTTGTTCTCACGAGAATGTAAGTGCGTGGTCTTATTTCACCATGCCTATTGCTGATAGAGGACAAATCTTTGTTTTTTTTTTGTTTTTGTTTTTGTATTTTTTTTTTGTTATAGTTAATTACTTAAAAATGTCATTACAACATGGTGTAATGGTTGCAGCTCCCTACAAACCTTTTTGTAAAACAAAAAACATGGCGATTAAAAAGATTGGCGGAGAATTCATTGCCAGTTTTTCTTGTCCGTTCTACGCCCTTTATCAGTACTGGCAGTAAATGTAAAATTAGAAGCATTTCATATACGTATTCCTTGATTGACGTTCATTAGTGTACATTGGGTAACCTAAATGAATAAATGATTTTGAATTTGTAGTTTTAGTTAGAGTTAGTAACAATTGCCATTGGGCTATTTTGCTTGCCAAGCAATCTAAAGATGTTGTTATAATGAATACGTATTCAATGCCTTGCCTGACAATACGCCTTGAACAGAACCACTTTGGCTTCTGGTGAGTTACTTACGGCTAACGTTCTTCTTTCTAGCTCCAGATAAGCGCCATCAGACAAATCTTCTGCAACCCAACGACCCCAATATTCCGTCAACTTATATAAGACCAATGCTTTGGTTTTTGTCTTTAAAATTTATTTGATGAGAAGAGTATTTTAAATTTACATTAACTAGAATTAATTCTTGTGGATAACTTTATTAGGCTTATAAACATAATTAGGCTTATAAATTTAAGTGCTGCAGTTCTGAAATGAAGGACGTAGAACGGATGAGAACTGGCGAAGACACTCCTCTTAATCGCCAAGTTTTTGTTTCACGAGATTTTTGTATGCAGCACCATTACACCTTGCATGACCAGGGCCTGGCTTGGTTTGTGATCCAACTCCAAATTTGATTTACGTCTTAACGGTGACTTGGCTTATTTTCCTATATCCCCTAGGAGCCCACAATGCTCACGTTCTTTCTTAAGCCGCACACTCCCTTCGAAGAGTGTATCCGATCCATCTCCACTTGCAACGTAAGATCTGGTGACCTATTGGAGTTTCCTGACACCGTTCCTGTAGTTGTTCATTAGAAATCTTCTCAAGCCAGAAGGTTCCCACGGTTTGTTTCAGGCACGGGTTAGGAAAGACCTGGATTCTCTTCTCAACACCTTTTCGCAACGCCTATTTTTTATCATCCTACTTTTGTTATTTGCTATACTAATAGCTATTGTGACATACTGACTGATTTTTGTATCTTAGTTTTGTTGTTCACATTGCTCAAAAGTTTATGAAACTTGGACATGAAAGCCTCAAAAACTTTCAAAAAGCTACATTTCACAATAAACATTAATTAATTACTTATGTTTGAAAATTCTAAGGGAAAATTCACAAATAAACATGATTAATGTGTGTCCCTTCTCAAATTATTTTTTGCTGAATGGGAAGCGTCGCTGTCACACACAAACGAACAATTTAACAGCCCTTGTTCAAAAGTGGAATCCCGAAAACATCCCGAATAAACGAGCTATGGAATATAATAATTGATCTTGATTTGAATTATTTTTTCAGGTATGATACTTTTGTATAATATACAATACCTGAAGTTACAGGTGTTCTTAATTTTATATTTTTCTTTTGTAGTTGTATCTCCTATAATGTAGACCGCTATTTAATTAACTTAATGATATACACAGACCATTTTTTTATTAGTTTACTAGATGACGATGCAAACGTTGTGTTGCCATATAATATTTATTACAATATCGCTATAACAACTAAACTTATGAGCATTTAAAAATGGGGGTCGAAGGTAGAAAGCGAAAATTAAAGGCATTAAAATCGGTCAGGGCCCGGGGGAGCTTAGTCACAAACACTGCACGCGAATTTTACATACAAATATATAAAAAATAAAATTAATTATATTACATAAAATAGTTTTGTAGCCTAATTAATTCTTTGAAATGTATAAACCGAATAACAGAAACCTACGTAGAAAGGAGTTCTTTTTCAGTATCTGTATTTACTTTATCTGCCGCGAATTAACAATAATTTATTTAAAATGCATTTCATGTTTAGGACAAATTTGAGCATGAGCAAGCGTAAAATAATTATAGTCTAAAGTCTACCTAAAGTCAATTATGTAATTAAGGTACATATTAATTTATGTATTCAATAATTACTAATTCAAAAACAAAAATCTAAATCTTGTAATAGGTAACCCTCAACAAGAATGAATCCAATAAAAATATAAACAAAACTAAATAAATTTTAATAAAAAAAAGCAAAAGAATATGTACAAAATGAAAAATTCACTAATTAAAATTAACAAACAGTAGATCTTTTGTTCGCTCAACGGACAATAAATAGGTAAGTGAAATTGTAGTTATTATACTAAACATTTTATTTTAGTAATAAGTCTTAGCTTTCTGTTTTTCAATATATTATACTTAACAATTATTGTTAAGTTACTATTTGATTAAACCATTGGAAGAGCGGAGTACTCTGATGTACAGGTCTCCCTAGTCTTAGTTCCGGGGCTGCAATATCTGCTAAAAATTAAACTTGTTATTGTTATTGGATAAAAAAAATTGGAAACATAATAGTTTCATCTTCCTTCAAATAAAATTTCCTTTTCTCTATATTATATTATAATAGACATATATTATTAGATTTAAAAAAAATACTATCTGGTGAAACGCTTTATTTAAAATTATTATTAATCTATAAAAGAATAAGGGTCCTTCAAGCCTCCTGTCCGTTTGCCCGCTGTTCTATAAAAAAAAAGTATGAACACTACCTAAATACATTTAGCAACATGTATTCTCAATAAAGACCAGTGATATAAAAATCTTGACAGTACCTTGACTTGCCACTGTAACAAGGTAATAAAGGGGTGGTTTAATGGACACATTCTGTAGCAGTTAAACAAAGTTGCCGGACCTAAACAAACGACAACGGTTTACGCCGAGTGCTACCTGCAAACTGTTTGCAGTAGGCAAATTGTTTTGACGGCGGTACGAAATTTTCGACAGATTTTTCAACGTGTTCATTGTTTAATATAATAAATATTGTTTAATTATTTAGATGTATACTAGCAGATCAGTGCTGGCATGCACATCATCACTAAGGTCGTAAGTTCTATCTCCGGCTGTCCCAATGGATTTTCCTCTCGTACGTGTCTGTGTCTGGAACAGAATTCACCTTCTATTAGAAATATACTAATGCCTATTAGAAAAAATACGTGATCACGAAACAGATGCAGAAATCTGAGGCTAAGACCTAAAAGGTGGTAGGGCCAGAGGTTTTTTTTGTTAGATGTATAATGATTAATGTATTTTATGCTAGCACCAAATTCGGTAGAACGTTACATCGATCGTACATAAGAGAAAAATAATCAATATAACCAAATTGGACTGTTGTATTACCTTACAAGCTAAATAATTTTTAAATATAAAACAAGAGCCTGTTCACCTGTAATTAAATAAGTATTCTTCATAAAGAGAGATAGATAGATTCATATGTACAAGGAATCAAGGTAGGAATTCGAGGAATTATTTTCAGAGGTTTAAGAATATTTTTCTTAAAAAGCCGGCAATTTGCTCTTGATGTTACGTGGGGCCCTTAAGTTTTTAGTGTTTGTTTGTTTGCCCCTTGTTCCATAGAATTCACAAAATCACATAAATCAGGTAAGAGCCTCTTAGCAACAAGTTTCTCATAGACAGATCTATTCGATTAACGTCCAATAATATCAGAATGACGAAAAACGCTCAAGATAGAGAGAGATGGACCCATTTGGAGGAGGCCAAAAAAATATAAGAGGTCCTTGAAAAAAATATAATTATTTTTGTATAAAACTTTAAGTATCTTTGGTAAATGTGGATAAATGTTTCAAGGAATAAATGAGGAGTAATTATTATTATAAAAGAATAATGGCTAACTACATTCAATTGGCAAATAAAATCAGGGTTCAATAGCCCGTGAGCCCTTCACATGTTTACTATGTTCAGTGCAAACAGCGATCTTCGATCGATAATGCAACGAGCTCACATATGCTTACATAAGCTCCACTTACAAAAGCTTCTTAAGAATGTATTTTCAAGTATGAGGAAAGTTACCTGGTTACCTTGTGATATGGAAATTGTAACAATAGAATTGTTAATATTTTAAATTTGCAAAGGTTGTTTTGCGTTTCGAACTTTAAAATTTTTGCTTAGGTACGTTAAAGCTTGCTATGCGCTTTATAGGTTGAAATAAGCCGTTTAAAATAATCTAGACATCTGTTGAAAGAAAGGGTTTTGTTTATGAAACATGCCTTGTTATTAACTTCTTCTAGCTTCTGGTTTTAAGAGAACGGACGATTTTGAAACAAAATTTTCTTGAAATAAAATCACTTTTATTTAAGCCGTACAAACATTGATTGCTAGTAATGGTCCTAGCGGCTCTAAGTGACTTGTACTTTTATTATTAACAAACTCTGCTATCTGCAAGGTATAATCAATTTCAATATTCCAAAAATGTCTTGCGTAAGTAAGACGAATGGCGTCTTAATCGTTCCCAATAGTGTTGTGCTGTCTAGACGTCGGGTCTTCCGATTCAGGTGACTGAACTCTTATGGAGCCTGTGTTGGTCACGGAAAAGGTTAATTCAATATATTTCACCCTGGGTTTGTTTTCAATAATTGGAAACGAATATTTAAGGATTTAGAAAAACCATATTACTTCAATTTATAATTAAGTAACTATTTATTTGTTAAGCAACTTATACAGTTAATAAATTAATATATCAATAGCTAAATTAAGCTGTAACGACTAGTTTAGATTTCTCGAGATTCCAACTGGATTTAGGAACTCTACCGAAAGATAAAAACTTTGTCATCCTTAATTATGGATACTTATAATTATATAATTAATAAACCTTCATTTGTTTTAGACCACAAACAGTGCGGAGCCGCAAGTGGCGGTTCTGTGCGAGGCCGGCGCGTCCTACCACCCGCAATACATGTCCGCCGCCGGGCGCTGGACACCCGACCTTACCACCAAACCGCGCAACTGCTTGAAGGACAAGATGGAGATACTTGATTACTGCAAGAAGGTATAAAGTTTATTACAGTAATAATAATAAGCTGATTTATTTTTAGTTCAGAATTGGTGATTTTTAATTATTATAGGTATTCTCCGACGTTATCGAACAATGTATATTTAAGTGAAGTTCATTATTAATAAGCCTATATTGCACCCAGTGCACAAATATACATATAAACAGTGTTTTAGTTACATAACCTAACTTAATCTTATACATCAGATGAACCAGTTTTGGTGATCAGCGTGTCCTGTGACACATAGGCCTCTTCCAGCTGCTTCCATTATTTTCTAATGTTAGCTCTTCTTGTCCAAGTTGCGTGTCCCATTCACTTTATATCGTTTTTCCATCGCTATCTCCGTTGTACCCTTTTCGTTTGTCCATCTCGTTGTTGCCATTCTGTAATAATTTTTGTCGATTTCAACCTGCCATCTCTTGTCATGTGCCCTGTCCAGCGCCATTTCAATTGCCTTATTTTCTTTATAATGTCCTCTACTTGGGTCGTTAATCTTAACTCTGCTGTTCTTTTGCGATGTCTCAGTGTTACAAGTGAAGTTCATAATTTTGACTTAATAATAAATAAACAATGAGATAGAAAAATACCGCCATAATTCCCGATGATTAAAAGTATCACCAAGCTCTCTAATAGAGGCAGAGACACGCGGCCTTTTTTCTGATACAATTTATAGGGCTTCTGTGTTGGGATATGAAACTGAAACGTTTTTTACTTTCACTATAGTATCAAGGTCAGCTTTTTATCGAGGGGAATAGCCACATACGCACCTCTAACCTTCATTACTTACTAATATTATTATTTTTTCTACTAAGAATTAGTATTTTTACATTGTTTTTCTTTTTTTGCGACTGAGGCGCAAACTAGCAGAGAAACTAGGTCTCTGGCAGAATAACCAGCGCTGTGGAACAGTCTGCTCCTCAGCATAAAACTGAGCCAGGGCCAATTACAGTCACAGCACACACGCATTACTTAAAATGTACCTTGTTATTTAAAAGAAAAAGAAATTGTTATCTCTCTCATTCTTTTTTTTTATCATTGTTATTTTGTGTGTGTTGTTAGTAATAAATGTAATGTTATGTTATGTTATTAACCATCGTCCAAACCGTCTGTATCGCAAAAACCATATGTTACCATAGATTAAACTTTATCGTATTTTAGGGTTTTACATAATTGTTCCAGTATTCGTAACAATGTACATATTGTAATATATATTGTATCATTTAGGTGTACCCAAGCCACGACATAACCAACATCGTTGAAGCCTCTCACTACGTCAAAGTGAGCAACTGGTGCAAACTCGGAACCGGAAACGCCGCTAAGTGCAAAGTCACTCGTTGGGTCAAACCGTTCCGCTGTCTTGGTATGTATTTAAACTTATTTAGCATGTACAATAACAAACACAAACGCATTTAAATTATATGTGAGTAACAGCAAACACATTTAAAATTACCTTAAGCATTGGTCATACCTTAAAGAATGTAGGGTGTATCATATAACTACCAACATTCTTACGTATGTTCCTTTCTTTCCGGTCTTCTGGCATGGAGTTTTTTACAGTTTTCTAACGGAACACAAATCAAACAGAAATAAATTCACATTGCATAAAAAAGAGAGAAGTGAACTGTTTTTTTTACACTAGGAGTGATTATCTTATACGTAATAATGACGACAAAACATGTGGGTAGGATAAAAAACATTGTGACATAATTGGCGGTAATTGCTATGAATAAATCGTCTGTTTGCGTGTATTTGTATTAATATAATGAAGTTTAGTAATTATTTAGTAGAAAAGAAATGATTATAGGTTACTCGTAAAAGACATTCCTATTGCATGACCAGAAACTTCCTCTAAGAATGTGAAGTATTACATAAATTCCCGTTAACTGCAAAGATCGTTTGGCGGCAGAAGGTCCATTCCAATCGGACGCGTTGCTGGTCCCCGAGAGCTGTCTCTTCGACCACATCCACAACCAGAGCAGATGCTGGCAGTTCTCCAGATGGAATGCTACAGCTGGAAGAGCCTGTGCACAACGTGGCCTTCGTCTGCGCACTTTCGCTATGCTGCTTCCGTGTGGCATTAGCCTGTTCTCAGGCGTCGAGTTTGTCTGTTGCCCAAAACATTTTAAAGGTAAAAGACCTATATTTTTTTAAAGATCATATTTTTTGTTCTTAAGACGAAAGTTTCTTTAGCTTTTAGGTTTGGTTAGCTTTCTTTGCAATAAGCAAGAACATATTAATAAATAAATTAACGCGTAACAAATATAGTAATCTGCTAGCTATGAGTGTGATAATTTGATCATTCTAATGTTTATAAAACTAATAAAATAATAAATTATAAAACTCTTATTAGATATCATATCAAATTCATGATAATATTTCAGAAAACGTAAAAATGCATAAACCCATGGAAGTTGGTGTGCCCGTGAGCCCTGGCGGTGAAGAAATGCTCGCCGCATCTGCTGCGATGGATGAACGTGATGATGAGCTTCTTGATGATGAAGATGCACTGGCTGATGACGATGACGACACCCTCAACTTGAGCGACGATGACGACGATGATGACGCTGATGACGGTAAGGAAATATGATACATAATAGAAACTACCACCTGCACCATTGCTGTCTTTGCACCAACAAACTGTGAATCCTGATAAAGCTGAATCTTCGGAATCCAAGCTTCCCTGAAATGCATGCTGGGTGTCCATAGGCTTCGGGAGTCACCTACTAATGACAGTCTCTTCTGCCCTGTATTGTGATCTAATAGTGATATGGCAATTGACAAGCATTTTTAAGAATCTGAAGACTTCGAATGAGATAGTGTGACGCTTATTTTGAGGTTTTTTAAAATTTATATATTAACTAGCAGACCGGCCAAGTTTTGTTGTGGCTAAGGTTTTTGTTATATAACGTAGTAGTAAACTATTCAAGGGAAACGGAGAACACCAGTTATGGGGACCACCATGCTTTTTTGGTGGTAATGTCATTAAATTGTAGCTTATGTGAAACGTTAGTAGTTTCAATACAGCGCCATCTGTTAGAATTGTGACTATCAAATAATTAACAAATAATTGGCAATAAAATAATATTGCGGGTATAAATTGAGATGTAAGCTATCCTATCTTTTAAGTTAGATCAAACCGCACACGGTGTGCAAATTTGATTGAAATCAGTTCAGTAGTTTAGGAGTCCATAGCGGACAAACAACGTGACACGTAATTTATATATATTAAGATTGCTTGTGCTGGTTAAGACAAATCATTACCTAAGCATAACTAAGGTCTATGTTTAGACATGGATGAAGATGAAGATGCCGATCTATCACGTGATGACGACGCCGAGGACGATGACTATACGGACGGCGATGACTCGGCCTGGCCACACCCTGAGTCTTCTTCTGCTCCATCTACCACTACGTCTACAACCACCACTACTACCACGACTACTGCCGTAAGTTACATGTCACTGTAGAATTAAGATAAAAGTAGTGTTTCAAAAGTACTGGATTAAAAAGCGTCATTATAATTTCAACTTATATAACTTTAAATTACGTACAGCTAAATATTGTGTTGACACTGTTAATATAGATTTCACTGAAATTAATATTAAATATAATATTTGTTTCGATAAAAAGGAATACATATATGAAGTAGTTAGTTAATATTAGGAAGGACGTGTTTGTGATTGTCTGGTGTTATTTACAGGCGTCAACTGCAACATCCGACCCTTACTTCTCCCACTTCGACCCACGCACTGAACACCAGAGCTACAAGGACGCTCAGCAGAGACTCGAAGAAAATCACCGTGAGAAGGTATCTTCAAGAACTTATTATTTATGATGTGATTTTGCGGAACGTGACATAATACGACTACAGTGCATCTAATGATTAGTATATTGTAGTGTAGAAGAAACTTATTACGTATTACTGATAGACAATATCCTAATAATCCAATGACTCTTCTCTCATTACGGCCTTTAAAGAAATTGTCATATAATTCTTCGTAAAAGTCAGCCTCTTAATTAGTTAAAAAGTCCATAACACATATATTACAGATTACAAAGGTGATGCGCGAATGGTCTGAGCTAGAAGATCGGTACCAGCAGATGATGGCTTCTGACCCAGTTGCCGCTCAGACTTTCCGACAACGTATGACCGCTAAGTTCCAGTCTAACATTCAGGTATTATAAACATGATTTAAAAGATGATTTTAATTCTGTTAGAATTGACTACCTGACTCATGAAGTCGCCGTAGAAGAAATGCCGCATAATGACTTAATCAAACATACGCCATTTTTCGCAGTCTTTGGAAGAAGAAGGCGTGGCTGATCGTCGTCGTCTGGCTGCATTGCACCAACAACGCGTGTTGGCCCATCTTGCCCAACGTCGCCGAACTGCACTTGCTTGCTACACTCGCTCTCTTCGAGACGCACCCCCAAATGTAAGAAAGAACCACTCATTCATTGTTATTGCCCGACATAACGGTCACCTATTTTTAGAGTAAACAATGATTGATTCATTCTCATAACATAGATGAACTTCCATGTGATACGCACAGTGAAATTTACTTAATAAATACGTAATTGATTCGAACATTAATTATGATATGTTTTATCATACTTGACAACATCCCAACTTGTATTATTTATAGTAAATACAATCCATGAAGAAAGTCTGTAAAACATATGTGAATGTTATACAATATACTTTTTTATTTTATTACGTTTGGATTAGATATAATAAAAATGCTTTTCAGGCCCACCGAGTTCAGAAATGCCTTCAACGTCTTGTACGAGCTTTGGCGGCTGAACGTAGCGGAGCGTTAGCTGCGTGGCGTCGCGCTGCCGCTGCTGGCAGGGAGGCTGCTGCTGCTGAACGATCCAGTGCTGCGGACAGGTTACAGGTATGTGACTTGGGTGTACTTAAAACTGCAGCATTTGTAATAATTGTGTTATACAAGGGTAAAAAAACTCATGTATTCACGAAGGCTTTATTAACTCCTCGAATGATAAGTTAAGAGAGAATTTTTAGCAATCTTATGGAGCTGGCATTAATGTTTCTGGAACTATATAGGTTTTAATCAATATATTAATCTTTCTATGCAATAGTAAGCTAGCTAATAAATAAAAAAATGTATCCTACATTCTGGTCTGTTTTTAATATACAAACGAAACATTAAGAAGTTTAATAATTTATAAATATCTACTAGGATGCTGACCGCGCCCTTCAACGTGCCTTGTCCGCCCTTCGTCGTCGCCCTCACCTCTACGCCAGCATCGGGACCGCTATTGAAGATTATGTTCAGGTATACTACCTTATTAAAATAGCATGTCCTATAAATTATATAAATGCTCTATATACAATATCAGTGGCGTAACAATAGGGTGGCAGGGCTGGCAAAATGCCACGGGCTTCCGACCAAAGATGGCCCCTGCCCAAGAGATTATGTTCTATGGAAGTGTGAAGTCTCCAATACGTATTGGGCTAGCGTGGGGACTACAGACCATTCCCTCTCGCCTAAGAGAGGAGGCCTATGGCCATTTGTGGGACGTATACAACGTGTAATTGAGTACGCTGAAAATCTCGAAGTTTATTAAAATTAAACTGAGTACTGTGTCGATTTTTACTGATGGTATAGTTACGCCACTGTACAATATTGTAGCAGTGCAAAGTGGCTAGGCACTTCACTCAAAATGTGTATGTAAAAACTGTAAATCTTTCTGAACAAATAAAAAAAAAATCCTAAGATCGTGTGTTCGAGCCCCCAACTATGTTATGTTACTAATTTACATATTCTACTCATTCTTTAATCAATACCAATTAATTCCAGTCTATGCAATCTAAAGACGATATGGCCGTTTCCCTGATGTCCATGACTCCTGAGGCTGAGGAACTGTTGCTTGACCGCATTGAGGCTGAGGTACAAAGGGAGCAGGCAGCACGCGAACAACTCAACGCCAAGAGAGAGGAACGTACACGGCAGAGACAGGACATTGAGAATGAGAGGGCCAAGGTACTTACTAGCAAGAATATTTGCGTTTAGACTAGCACCTACCTGTTCGTACATTCCGTGACCATGCTAAGGGTGTTTATAGATAAGGTCAGTTCAACAAAAACAGTAATAAGAGACATGTATAACAAATCTTTTGAGTTTGAAGCGAGGACTACTTATTACGATTTCGATCTGTGGTCTCTGCCTATTCCATTGAAAAACGGACACGAAAATGTCTGGTATTTTCGAAATATCAAACAAAATATTGTGGGTTTTACCGAAATGGGTACTAGCTTTTAGCGCCATCTAGTGCTCTCAAATATAATTATGTTAACTTTACAGTTTAAGACCCATCTCTTATTAACTTTTTGATTTAGTTGCACATGTACACACTAGATGGCATTCCAAAACCCATCAAACGTTTTATTTTCAGTATCGCAAACATCAGACATTGTTACAGGATCCTAAATTAATACTTTATTGCTTCAGACATCCAACGGTGTGAAGGAAAGCGAAGAGACTGACGACGAGGCCAGTGAGGTGAACGACATGGATGAAACCACTTCAGCTGCGACCACGCCACCATCTGCTCCTCCTTCCGCGTCGCCTTCTCCCTCATCCCCGGTGTCAGTGCATGACCTTACCACTCGTGCGGCTTTCACTCAGGAGACTACTACTACTGTGAGTACTGAATCTTGATCTATTTTATTTAATATTTATTTACACTTCTTTGCACAAAGAAAAACAGTTTTACCACCGGACGTCACGGCAGAATACAAAATACCATCCGTAACTGAGCGCGCACCACCACTATGTGGAACCAGCTGCTCACTTAAGTATTTCCGAACCAATTCGACTTAGAGTCCTTCAAGAATAGAGCGTACGAATTCTTAAAAGGCTGGTAACGTGAGTATTCATGGGCATATCACTTAACATCAGGTGAGCTGGTGTCTCCTGTTACATAAAATAAAAACAAACAGACACCTTATCGCTTATTAGCGAGTTCTATGTCACTCAAAAACAGACCAGAATAGAGAGAGAAAGTGAATAAAAAGTAACAAAGTAGTGCAAAAGAATAAACAATTGATCCTTTTCAACACACAATCTGTTCACAAAATTACATAAGTAATATAAAAGAATTTGATTTAGTTTCACGTTATTGACACAATTTAGCATCGTAGTAACAAAAACTCACACGCTATCCAGATTGAAAATTCTGATAAACGAGCTAGGATATCTATAGTTACTCCCCTCAGACTTTGAAATCGATTTTCCTTAAGTTTTTAGAATTTAATTTTGTTTAACTCTTCGTGTTATATTAGCCTAAAAGTGCTTGACACTTTAAATATTTTATAGTATTTTTCTTGTATCAATATATCAGTGTGCCGAGCGTGCAAACTTTTATAAATAAATAAATAAAAACATGTTAGCCATAATTGAGAAAATTAAAACAGCATATATTTTTTTGACTACAGAACATAGGTTTGTGTGTCTTGCCTGTGTCTAAATCTAATATATAAAATTCTCGTGTCAATGTTCGTTCCCATACTCCTCCGAAACGGCTCGACCTCTTATGAAATGTTTTCTGCATATTCAGTAAGTCTGAGAATCGGCTACTATCTATCTTTCAAACCCCTAAGTGAAAAGGGATGTCCACCCCAAAATTGTATTTTTTTACTTTTTAGGCAATTTTTTTTGTTACAGCATACAAAAATACATACAACCCTTAATTTTCATCTACCCTCTACAATCATACCTATTTTTTATTTGTTAGTTGATAACTTATAACTTGAACTCTGAGATTTATATAGAGAAAAATTCACAGAAAAACCTAAAAGTTTTAATTCCGGAGAACTGAACATTCTCTGGGGGTGTATAGCAAAATATTCCATGTTGGTATGTACTAAAAAGGTAGGCTAAGTAAAATCACATCACGAAGTTCGCGAGGGCAGCTAGTATGTATATAAGAATAATTAGTTGAAATGATTTACATACTTCAGGAAATCATAACCAGCACAATGACTGAGGCTCCCGAAAGTGAGACTGAAACCGGTGAGATAGGTGAAACTTCAAGTCGACGCTCTACTGGTGAGGTGAGGTTATCAATTCAGGTTCTAATATTGTGAATCTAGAATCTTTTTAAAATGACACAGCCTGTACTGTATTTGTTTTTGTGAATTGTTTTATTTTATTTTTGCTCTCAAACATACACATGTTAAAATAAGGACCATTAGATACTTATGAAAATGTTTTAAAAATAATATACATGTGAGAAAATGACTTGAGAACTTCAGAAGGCAGCGCTACATGCATGCAACTTCTTCACAATCGAGTACTATCCCCAGATATAGACACTCTATAAAACTAATATAGACTCGACAAACATAATTATGTAGGAATAAAGAATATTGGGTACGGGGTTAAATTGCTTAATGATAATAAAATCACTCCAATAGATTTATTCAGGTTTCTGTGACTTACTTTTATCATCAAAATTAATGTTATTCATAAACATTCCAGACTGAGGGCGAAGGCCTTCGTGCGGCTCTAGAGCAGGCGGAAGAACGTGCACCGCCACCACCTGCGCACGCGCTGAAACACGAACTGCAACACACCCAACCCGTATGTATTATAATTCTTATTTCAACGTTATAACATTTTCAATTCATCTAGGTACTAATGGATCAAAATAACTATCTATATCTAATTTCATTTACACAATAAATAAATAATATTATTAATAATTGATTAATATTATTATTACACCTTAATAATAAATAATAGTATTTATTTATTATGTATAATTGAGGCGTATGTTATCTCTATCGAATATTTAAATATATTCGATAGAGATTGAGTATTGCATTCGATAGAGATTGAGATATTGTGTATTGCATTTGAATTTTCTTACAGAAGCGATTTATTATAGTACAGTTAATTTATTTCATAAAATAATTATACAGTAATCAACTAACATAAGTAAACTCTAGACAAAAAACGTTTTACTAAAAACTTCGAAAATAAAATAATAACACTTATTACATCACAATAACACAAAACACATTATCCCTGAAAAATTGTAAAAATATCTCTAAAAATTAAAAATTTCGTTTTATTTAGTACTTGGGTTGTATTCACAATTAGCGAAAGGTCTTTATGTGGTAGCATAGCAAAATTTTCCATATGTTTGTATGTAGCTACTTAAAAGGTAGGCAAAAAAGCATATTAAGACAAAACGAAGTTCGCGGGGGAAGCTAGTAAAATAATAATTTGGCGTTGAGTTCCCTAAAGCATTGTTTAATCATCTTATAAATATTTCACAGGGTTACACGGTACGTGGTGCACCCAGTAGCGGTGGGTCTGGAGCTTTGTACCCCGCCCTATGCGTGGGCGGCGCCGCCCTGGCTGCAGCCGCCGCTGTCGCCCTCGCAGTCGCTCGCCGCCGCGATCGCGCTCCATCCGCACAGGGATTTGTTCAGGTTAGTTACATTATTAGACAATTTATTTATTATTTACTACTCATATTCTCCGTACTAAATAAATTTAAAATGGCCTTTTTTTCATGCAACATATCCGAAATATTATTTATAATTATTTGTTCTTGTTTTACTTTAAAATTGTTTTTGTTACGAATAAAGTGAATATTCATATTATTTTTATCAATGTAATATTAGTCTTTCCTTACATGAACCCCTCATTGGACGGCCTCCAGTCATTTCCATTTCTCTCTATTCTTCGAATTTTTAACCAATTTATGCTTTCTTTTGTTTAAATGTCGCCTTACCATCTTCCCGTCTATCTACATACTAAGATGGGCTTAATAGCTAGAGCTAGTTTATCAAATACAATTCTGTAAAGCCTTAAAAAAAACTTCCTACTCTATCTCAGCAAGTTATTGAAATGGTAATTATATACTACAAAATATCTAACTCCGCGATTTAGGTGTTCTCATTCTTTATAGATATCTGTGTACCCTGTTTTAAAAGCCTCTTAATTCCTATCTGAACTGTGCCACTCTCTGTCATTTACCTGTTTCCTTAATCTGGTCTATCCACTTTCCACATTGTCTTCCTCTTTTACGTTTATTGTACCTTGGGCATCAGTTTAATACTATCTTGCTGTACTGTTCTGTTCCTCTTGTGCCCCGCCCATTTCCCCATAAGTTTATCTATTTAATTGTGACATCTGCTTCCTAAGTTATAGTGTAATGTAACTCATAGCCATATACTATTGTGACTCATAGGAGACTCAAATTAAATTATGTTTTAAATATATGTGTATCTCCGCAGGTTGAACAAACCGGCGCAGTGGCTCCCACACCTGAAGAGCGACACGTCGCCAACATGCAAATAAACGGATACGAAAATCCTACTTATAAATACTTCGAAGTTAAGGAGTAGATTCTCTCCCTCCCGCTGTACCGCCAGGCTTGTCTTCCTCCGTCTTTCTAAATAGGAAGGTGGGGTGTTATGTTGTTATGCCATCAGCAGATTTCTTGCGAATTAGAGGTGTGTGCTTGCGTCCTATTTCTGGGTTTTCGCCCTGTCCCTTTATCTATGTCCTTTGAATTAATTCTTTATGGAATGAATGTGTGAGCCTATAATTGTATGTACTCGATCTGCGAGCCTGGTGGTATCATGTTTATAAAGCTTGTGTGATTAGTCAATATATTCTTTGCGATATTTCGCAATCAGTCAAACAATCCTTTAAAGTTATATTGTTTTATGTATATGTTAATTTATGTTTGCACCAAATTTATTTATTTACCTTCTAAGATTAGAGTTAAGTTTTCGTCTAGTGTCCTAGATTTTTAAGTGTCACTTTGTAGGCAAGTTTTTTAAATTAAGTTTTGAGGCAACCGGCTGTGCAGATAACGGAAATTGATTGCCGCACGCGACTTTGATTTACCGATATTAAATGATCTCAATTTTGATAAACAGATTTATCTCCTTGCACATTTCTACATAGATGGCCGTTATCTGGGCAGTTTGTCGAATAAACGTCCATGGTACGCAGTGTATATAAACTCCGCGTACGAATTCGAACCTTATTACTAACACTTAAAGCCCGCTTTCCTTTTCTAATGTAGGTAGAACATAACGTGAATTTTATGTAATAAAACGCGAAGATATATTTTAATAATTATTGTGTACTTAGCGAAGGAACGGGCGGCAAAGCCGGCGCGGGCAAACTCTTTTTTCGGCCTTCTAGTCTACTTCTAGTCATGAATCTATCTTTTATATCTCTCTATGAATCTCTATCAAAGTTTCTTTCGTCTCTATTTTTACATCGTTTGCCCGCGGGACAATACTTTTAGTTTAGCGCCGTGTGCTCACAACAGGACAGCCTAAGAGTTTGACTAACTGCTTATCTAGTCATCGCGTGCCATCACGGCTTGTTTCGTTCGAGTACTCGGCAACGGCGAGCAGTATAGCTTAGTGGGTGTATGGTTATTGTATAAGTAGATGTACAAAAAGTAATACATTATATTATAGATGTTTTAGCGTCAGATAGATATAAAGCAAAATATAATTATATATCGCATTCGTCCGAATAATGTAAGGGCTTGCGCTCGTGTCTATTCCCACGTACCACACTTAATGTTACGCCGTAGTTAAGATGTATTTCTGCCTCAGTATTATATACATTATAAGCTTATTTATTACATAAGCTAATTTATATACACGAGTTCCATTTATTTACGGGCGTAGTGACGTAACTACATAACGAAGTCATATCAAACGCGCCTCGGCGCTTTGTGTCTGGAAGCTTGTCGAACGTCGCTGGAATATGTGTGGTAACGATCGACAAAGGAAGGATGTTAATGAGGCGCGCCCGTAGCTTTTACGGCATTTTATATAACTCACAGTATTGTAAGTCTATTCCCGCATCAAGTACCCGCTGTATTTTTAATAACTAAGTGACGAACCGACCACTTATTTTTCTAAACTCTTTGCTCAAAGTCATCTGTCTTTTGTCGGTAATTTAAAAATTATTGTCCATTTGATGTTTAATATTGATGTCGTCAATAGCAATCGATGTACTATGTAGTGATCCTAATTTGTGTAAAACCTTACCACTGTTTCACGTATATTAAGACGTAATAAAAATAAATGGTTTGAATATTATTGTGTTTCCTGTGCTGCATTTTATTGTGAGTTCGAAGTTCAAATTAAATCAATAAAATATAGAAATACAAAATTAGTGTTGTTATTGGGCTGAAGCCTTAAACGTTAGCAACATCCGGTTCTTAATTTGTTTGTCAGATAATTAAAAAACTAATAGGTGTGTCAATTGGGTTTTACAATTATTAATGTTTTCGGAATTAGCAAGTAATAACAATAGGGATATGATGAGTTTGGTAAATTAAAAAGTATATAATAAATACATATTAACTATTAACACGTCGTTTTGCATACATACGTAACACGTGCGTAGATAAAATACAATTGTCATAATTAAAAGGAGGGCATCTGGCGACCTTATCGGCTTCGAGCGATCTCTTCCAGGCAATCACTGTGAGAAATAAATTTTATAAATATAAGATATATAAAAATTAGATAAGTTAAGCAACAAGTGCAAAAACACATAAGAAATAGTTATTTAGACAAAACGAATGGAACATAAAACAAAGCAATTAAAACATATGTAAACAGTAAACAGTACAACATTTAAAAAAAGTACACATGAAAAAGATATAGTGCACGTTATTACCATGCCATATATTATAAATGAAAGGCATGGATACCCTAATCTCAAAAACAACTGCCTTGCGATTCTGTAACTCTACACAAAAAAAATAATGCGTGTACTAATTAATGTACGCGCGTAAGAAGTTATACTTCTTTGGCTTTCTTTATTTTTTTAAATATTAAATAATTAATAATAAATATTTAGCGTTAATAATTTAACAATATTTAATATTTAGTATATTATTCAATTATTAATTAATATTAATAATAATTATTATTTATTATTTTATTATATTATTAATTCAATTTAATAACTAGGTAGGTTTCATAACCTTCTAACTAAGTAACAATAGGTCTTTGTGAAACAGCATTGCTAAATTTCTTTGAAAAAAGGTAACTTTGTTTAAAAGGTACTACAAATGTCATTATGGTCATTCAAAATTCTTGGCATAGCTGCTAACGTCACGCATATTCTATTTCTTTTTACTTGTAGATTGTCTTATTCCCATCTCGCTCGCGCACGCTCGGCGCCCATACTGATAATTTGGTGTTACGGTGCGCGCGCATCGTAAAATTTCACTCTCATAAATTTTTCATAACGCGCCTAAAGAAGTATAACTTCAAAAACTAAACAATAAACTACAAGCTCCCTCCTTATCAGAATGCCAAATCATAAAATGTCTGCTTTAGGACTGATTTGAGCGCGACCGCCGCGGTAAAAACCGCTGTGTGAGTTCGAAAAGTGAGTTACAGAATCGCAAGGCTGAACCGATTATAAAAGTAAGTGTCCTGGTTGAAACATCACGTATATTACAATTTAAAAATTAAATTAATACTGATATGACTAGTTTCTGAGAAATTTGTGCACAAACATAATATACATACTTACGAAATTTAGCGCACGGTAATAGATTGTTATACAAATATAATCCTATTCCAAATATCCATACAGATAAAATAATTGACAATCTCCTTTTTGAAGACCAGTAAAAATATTCTAAACTGTGAAATTTTCTCTTGATTATTGTAAAATTCACACAAGATATTTGTTACTTTTTTTTCTAAAGCTGATGACTTTCGTGCCTGACACTCGCTGTCAAAATGTACCTACTTAGAATGTTCACCGTATGAGTAAGTGTTAATAGCGAATAGTGGATAAGAATAATATACGTAGCACTCCAGAGTAAAAATTCACAACCTCGACAACTAGACTTTAAAAACGAACTACACAAATAACTTTTAATAATTTGTAACAGAGTCATCATCAAAATAAATATAGTCAGTAATTCCGGGATACTGTATATGCATATTATAATGCTATAATCGTGAACAAGTTATTAAAATCGGTCTGTTTTTACGTTTTTTCGTAACAATAAACAAAATTACAAACCTTTTGTTAATATGTACAATCTACATGTGTATATAATATTTGTATAGAAGCTCCGGACAGCTCCGGACCGTGGGGCTGAAATGTAAGAATGTTGTGGTATCTTTAATATTCTCCGATACCCCAGATGGCTTACTTTTTATTATTTATGAAATAGAGTCGAACGGGCAGGAGGCTCACCTCTTATTGATGTGATACCGCCGCCCATGGACACTCACATCACTAGCCTCGCATGGTCGGTGCTTTACCCGCTCGCCGAACTGGTACGCTCTTTTTTTGAAGGAGGTGTCGGCACTACCTGGAAAGCAGCCATCAATAAAACTCGGGCCGCCTAAGTAAACATGCAACAATCAATCAATCGTAGCCGCCGAAATTTGCAATTCTTTGTTTTCTCATACCTTTTATTTAGATTTTATTATACTTTAACAAATACATGATTGTATAATAAATTATTCCGAGCTTCCGTTTCACTTATCACTGAGTTGTTGAGTACTGTCAACACTTTGTTGAGATACCATTAAAAATTCCTAAACCTATGATAGCCTTAACATATATAGATTTTCTTATTTAATTGCAAATACTCAATATGTTTAAATAATAAAATGTGCTACCAAAACGAATGATTAAACTTTGTGATAACTGCCATCTTTGTAATAACTCCGCATTTTCTCATTTATTAATGCGCCATCTATTAGACATATTGAACATTACATGACCGAATTATCCATCACTTAAGGATGCGTTCTTAGCTTAAATATTTTAACACAGATGGCACCACATGCATTATAGAACGAAAGGCACTATGTAAATATGTAGCGTATACATTCTTGCTCTAATTACTAATTCAGGATTCCCGCTAGATTCATCCACAACTAAGCAAACGTGGGGTTATGAGGGGACAATTTAATGTTATAATTGAAGGTGTTCTGAATTACCACATTTACGATTGTTTCATAATTTAAATTCACGTAAATTGGCTTTACGTAAAGAACATTTCGCAGTGAACAAATAGACAAATTAATCTTGCTTTATTTCTATGAATAGGCTACAGATAGCAAATTATCACTGATTTTCATGCTTATTAAACATTACTGATTTTCAAATAAAATAAATTCGAAATATTTAAAACGCAAAAAATAACACTTCCTTACTTGGCAACGCTGTGTGTTTAACCTTAAGGTACATTTTCCGACGAAGCAGTTTCGGATGAAGACAACCAAGGCCGATCACGATAAAACCAATTCATTTATTTAGGAAACAAAACAGCTACATATCTATAAAATAAAACATTAAATATATATTATATATCCACTTAAAATTTCACTGATAAAAATAAGATACAAATAAAAACAGGACAGCAGAACGTTAGCTAAGTAGACAATACATTATACAACACGAAATATTAATAATTACAACGACAAACATAATTCATACAAACAATCCAAAGAAATGTGTCTGCCCTTTCATCAAAAATAGATTTTTTTAGACTTAAAGTTTCACTTAAAAAAATACCTAATACATTTTAGTACAATATAGAATAATGAGTCCACCAATGTTTGCATTAGTGACAGATAGATAATGCTTATTGTATCTAACAAAACAGTTACAACTATAGCTGTAGTCTTTCATTGCTACTTAACACATCTAAATCATTGCAGGCCGCATTATGCGACAAAAAACATTACTGTGGCATCTACTTTTCTTCAAAGGCATCGCGAAAAAAATACGAAATTGTCATACGAAACCAGGCGAGCGCACTTTAAGATGTTGTCATTGGTGAGTCGTATAAAATTGATGTATCGCTTTCAATTAAGGTACTTAACAATCAGGTTGATTGCCCCAATCTTTTAACAAAATTTAAATTTGGTGTACCCTATATACCCCATTCCATTTGTCCTTCCTTTCCGTAAAACGCGTATTGGCCAAAACTCACCGACGCGATGTCCAGATTGAGTATTCTGATAAACGAGCTTGATCTAGATATCCATAGTTGCTTCCCTCACACTTTAAAATCGATTTTTGTTTAGTTTTTATAATTGTATGTGTAGCGTGCCTAAAAGTGCTTGTCACATTAAAATTGTATATTATTTTTCTTGTACCAATGTTACAGTGTGCCGACCCTTGGTAAGCTTTAATTAATTTATAAGTAAAAAAATGTGTTCGAAATAAAATTTTCAATTCATTTTACACGAAGAAGATAAGGCGGCTCTAATTGTAAGTCTTCGAACGCTTTATATTATTACGCCAGGGATTAGTTTCAAACTTCTAATAAAACCGTTATTAGTAATCTATAAATTGTTTGCAATCAAAAAACTCAAACAAGTGCTAAAGAAAACCTTTGTTGTTGCTAATATCGACCCTTTAAATTATATTAATATTTTTATATAAAATAATAGAGAAACCAGTGCCTTTTAGGTCTGGGCTTCACATTTCTGTGCATGTTTCATGAATTTGTTTTTCTTAATAAGCATATAAGTGATTAGCCTGTGACACACGCCGTCTTTTTGTGTCTAAGGCAGTCTAACTTCGCGATGGGTTTCTATAGATCGCGACAATCTTTTTGGTCTCAGATTTCTGTATCTCATGATCATGACCATTTGTCAATCTAATAGGCAAGTAAGGGATCAGCATTCTGTGTCTGATACACGCCGTCGAATTTTTTGTGTCTAAGGCCGGTTTCCTGACTATTTTTTCCTTGACAGTACGATTGTTAATTACGCACTTAGAAAGTCCATTGGTACACGGGTCCGAACTGTTTTATGCGCCCTTAAATCAGTCGTTACCTAAACGGGATCAAGGCCGAGATTCACCGTTCCATATAAACGTACTTAGTTAATTGACGACTCCATGTACGCCTGTAACAATATGATAGACAAAGGGATAATTCAAGTATGATGCTTTAAGAATTACGTTATTCGTTATAAGAAAAACCTCTCTATAACGTAAAAGAGTATAGTATGGTTGGTTTAACATAAAACTATTCTTTATAACGCAACAGACACTCTCTATTACGAAGAAATATATTCATATTTAGATATCAACAACATACTTAAGTGTATGTTTTTATAATCAGATTACAAAACTAACCTATTGAGGTGCCGAAATTTCTAAAAAGGTACCTGAGGTCATAAACAGCCGTCTCGCCTTTGTTACTGTTAATTGCATTAACACGAGTACATTCTTAGATTACATTGCCTGTAGGAAATTTTGGTCGCAGTTACTAAACGCAGCATTGTCACCTATCTATTATATATATATTATTATTGTAATTGGTTAAATTTGGTGTTTTTTCTCTACTGTCCCTATAACGAACCAAATTGAGTCGCTCTAAGAACTCATCAGTACCAATCTAGTGAATATTATGAAAAAGATACAGGGTGTAGATATTTTCGAAATTTAATAAGAATTAGTAAAAAAAGCGTTAGCGCTTAAGACTTTAAAATGGTATAATTATGATAATGACGAGAGAATTGTGTATCAGAAATTAAATTTTTATTCTAAGTGATAGATCAAAATGTATTGTAATTATTTTATCATTGATAAGCAATTTATTTATATTTATAAATTCTTATCAATAAATTATCGCTCTTAAGAATTTGCAATCGGGTGAATGTAAAAATTGGTTGAGGTTGACTTGACATAAATTACAATAAAAAGGATGTTAATGCTAAAGGAGTTTTATTCAGACATGAAAATACCGCTACAACCTTTTAGGTCTGGGCCTCAGATTTATCAGCCATTACTCACGTAGAGGACTTTTTGGGTCACCGTTCGAGCAATGTTAAATGCGCAGAAAGAAAGTCCATTGGTGCACAGTCGGGGATCGAACCTACGACCAGGTCAGGTATGAGACTCGCACGCTGAAGCCACTAGGCCAACACTGCATATCTACTATTTACATAACAATATTTATATAACTAAAATAATGTATTTGAAATTGTTTCTCACATTAATAAAGGTTTTAAACGCTGACGTCAACAAAAAGGCTTTTGACACCAATACGGAAGTACCTACGTTTTTCGGCTAAGCAAGTGCCTGCCTTAATTAGAACCTTGACTTTTGATCGTAATAAATATTTTGTTTTATGTATGTTGTAAACACACCAATGGCTCGTAAGTTGGGATATATAATACTTATACTATACTATTAATGTTATAAAGAGGTATATAATGTTATAAAGAGGTAATATTTGTAATGAAAAAACTTAAAAACTATTGGGCCGATATATATTTTTTTATATAATCAGAATTCTACATGATTAGACGCTACGCTGATTTTTCCAAAAATAACTCTCTTCATCATCTCTGGAAACTCCATATGTAGCAACAGTTACCCTGCCAGGGTCTGTACTGTGTAATCATTTCGGAAAATTCTTTCATTTTAGTTAAATAAATGAATTACAATATATGAAATTAATTAATTACCATGAAATTAAATCGCTACCTGCTTTTTAATCAATCCATAAATGATACAATTCATTCAATTTAACCAAATATGTTAATTGTAAACGCCTTCAGTCCTTTGTCTTCGCCAATATTCTAAAATTTAATATTAAAATGATTATAAAACATTTGGTTTAAATTAATTCATTGAAACGCCGCCAATTATACGAGTTTGTTATTCAATAATAATTAAATATGAACTAAAATCTAAAATCAGATGTTTAACAAAAGGGCCAGAGAAACAATGCAATAAAAGTGCCAGTATTATTTAGAATTTATCTGAATTTTAGTTTGTAACGGATTTTAGCCTTAACCAGAAACACGAGGTATACCAATTTTTTTTTCAAAAATAAAAGTCCACCCGTGCGAAGCCGGGGCGGGCCGTAATAACGTAACAATATAGTAATTTATTTAAAAACTTAATTCCGTATTTTGTCGGGTTAGTTCAGTCATAGGTGCTATGTTCATGAATTCCATAGGGAACTTACCCATTGCTCTGTTAATTTTGGAAATAATTCGATTGATACAAGTGAATTCGTGGCTTTGTCTTCCCAACGATCAGAAATCCTCAGAACAGTGAGGTCGCTCCGTGAAACCTGCAAAGTGCCCAGGAAACTACTGGAAGGAGCTTTATTAGCCAGGACTTTATGCACAACGGACCAAATGAGCGTCTAAGTGAGGAAATTGAGTCCACACTACTACTTACCTATATGAACAAGCTTTGTGAAATTTGAAATCATGGTCAAAATTCTTTATGTCACAACAAAGTTTATCATTAGAAAGATATACCATTTTCCTTAAAGGAACGAGGAAAAGGGTATACATATATCATTCATATTAGGTGGGCTGAAAAGTTCGTAGGCTAATAGAAAAAAGGTTTTTTAAGAGTTTGATTTGATTATTATAAACTTATAATCGATCTCGGGTAACTACCCGATTATAGCGGTCATTAAATTTTCGATACCAATTTTATAGTACGATTTATCTTTAGGCATAGGCTTCAGTTTTGGTGATTACCTCTTTAATTAAAATTAGCTTTATTAAAATGGCTGCCCAGTGAGCATTCTCTTGGGGTATGAGAAAAGGTTGCTTGGGGATAAATCTGGACAATACGATGGAAGCCATCCATGGAATTTTGCCATCGTTTTCATTGATTTGTTGTGTTTCTTCTTCAAATGGGGCCGTTTTTCCGCGACTTTGTCCTTCAAACGCTCTGTTACACAGAACAATAATAAGATCTTTTTAAAAAAAAGATTTAATGAATTCAATTACAAATATATTGATTTAGAAATACAAAGGAAGTAGTATTAAAAATTAGCACGTCTGATCGGACAGGAGCTAGGAGATCGACTGACTGGATGGGAAATGAGAGGTTGTTTGTGCATGGGAAGAAATGATGACGAGGATAGGGCTTAGGGTATGTCAGCAATATAGGATGCAATGGGGAGTTGTAACAACCCCCCGATCAAGAGTAAACTTATACCCTGAAGGGAATAGTTTACGAGGATTAGGAAAAGGTATTTAATCCTTGCTAATACGAAGTGATGGGGGAGCAGGACTTCGTCTTTCGACTTCATCTAGAACGGAATTAGAGATGGGATCTGGAACGGTTACATTCTTATGTTTAAATGGGAATCTCCTATAAACATTAGTGCATTTACAGATTTTAAATATAATGTAACTTAAAATTAAGATCACTACAACAATTAAAATTATATTATAAGAGTTTTCATATAGGACAATATTTTCCTTACTTACTAACTTATCTAAATCTTTGAAGACATTTTCTTTTCCATAGATAATTGAATCTAGATCAATATTCTTTAAATTAACAGTGGGTAATTGAGTACTTATATTTGAATAACTTTCTATGTTACAACAGGAGTCATTTAATATAGCTAATCTTATTTTTAAAGGCTTAAGAATAATAACAGGATAGTCTTTAGCTATAAGTTTGGAATCTTTACAATATGCAACACTACCAGCAGGTAAGTGTAAGATTCCGCTTCCGCTTATTTCTAATTCTACAGTTTGCGTTAAATTATATATTATACTCAATTTAGTTTTCTCAGACAATATAAATAACCATCTATTTTGTTGTAAAGGCTGCCAAATTTCAAAATGGCCATGGAAGAATTTCGTCTTACACGTTTCAGGAATATAGGTAAGTGCCTTAGTAATTATGTCTGTTTCACAGATAGGAGTTGTGAAAGTAGAGCGTGATATGACGTCATCGCAGATGTAAGTATCTCTATTAATTACTTTACAATTTTGGAGTTCATCTACTTTACAATAAAGAGATTTGTCGTTACTCAGGCCAATGTACTTAGAGGATGGTATAATGGTAGAATAAGAGGTAGGGTTCTCCACATTATGTGGCGTTGGATATGGTAAGTTATGATACAATAGGAAATCAGTGGGGCTTAGTAATGGAATATGAAGGACGAAAACTAACTCGTTCTTTGTCATGTATCCCGATATAGTAGAGATATTTAAGATAATATGAATATTTTCAAGACTTAGAAGAGTTGGAAATTTTTTAGTTGGTGGAATAAAACGGTAATTATTAATCAACTCTGTATAGAGTTCTTTAGGAGTTAGTATTCCGGGATGTAGCGCGTTGGACTTACTGAACATAATTGATTCCACCAGATCTTGTATTTTGAAAGATATAGTCAAGAGATTATTTCCTATCATTGATACGAGTTCTAGGACACGAGATTGAATTTTTAATTCACGAGACTCAATCGTAATATTTTCAACGGCCGTGCGGAGAGCACTTAATGCGACTGAAATTTCACGTTGATTTGATTCTACGATGCTAATCGATTTATTGAATGTCTTTAAGGCTGATGTCGTAACTATAATATTTTCCTTTACAAAAGACGCTATTTTCTTTTCGTCTGATTGAATTTCCCTAACTGCGCTATCATAGCGTATAGCATCTTCCTCGTCCATGGTGCCAAATAATTTCTTAGAGATAGTACCTATAACACCTAGTAAAGCACTCCTTTTTGTTGAGTGATGTGAGGCAAGATTTGGTATGGCTTCACTATAGCGAGTCATATCTTCATATTGAATTATTATAGGTTGAAATAAATTTTTACATTCTAAAGAATTAAACACTAGACTCTCTTCGCAAATTAATTTAGAATAATTTATACTACGTTGTAAATTTATTAAGTGAGGTTTTATATATGAGACATCTATAGGGACTACGACACTTAAATAACTATCAATTTGATTCAGGGAACCCACGGGATCGAAGTAAATTCCGGGGCTATTAATCATCTGTTCGATGAATTGTTGGGCCATGGAGGGATTGCTGAAAGAGGAATAGAAAATATTAGACTAAACTTATCGAAGGCTTATTAGCACTAGGGACTTACAATTTTAAGACCTAATAAATAGTTATTACTTTAGTGTTTACTAATCTGGCGAACTGGACCTAGGTGCGAGCTTAACCTCATCATAGTGATGAGTAACATGGCGTCGGTTTATAAGTAAGGTAAGGCTATTTCGTCCATTAATTTTTACTACCTTGTACGGTCCCTTCCATATGGGTGACAGAGCCTTTCGTAGGCGCACGTGGTTCTTAAGGTAAACGTAATCGCCTATTTGATATCTAACTGGCCGTGAATGGTTATCATAATAGTCTTTAGACCTTTCCTTAGATCTAATAATATTTTCGGTTGCTTTTTCCCTGGATAATTTGAGTCTATGATGAAGGAATTTTATATATTCAGGATAAGTTACATCAGGTGGTTGTTCGTAGACGGAATCAGGAATGTATGCCTTATGACCGAAGAGGAGTTCATAGGGAGTAAAGTTTGTGGATGCGTGGACAGACGTGTTATATGATAACATTGCAGTAAAAACATATTTATGCCAATTTGTGTGATTCTCGTTAACATAGGATTTCAAATACTCTTTGAGCGTCGAGTGGCTTCTTTCTAGAGCACCTTGAGTCTGTGGGTGATAAGGTGAGGACCAAATTTGTTTTATTTTAAGGAATTCGCATGTTTTCTTAAATAATTCTGCAGTGAAGTTGGTGCCTTGGTCCGTCAAAATCATCCTAGGTATTCCGAATATTGATATAAAATGAACAAGGCATTCGAATGTGTCTTCGGAAGTGGCGTTGGCAATGGGATACGCAAAGGAGAATTTAGTAAGGTCGTCTTGCATGGTAAGGATGTATTTAAGAGATTGAAGACCTGCCTCGGGCAGAGGACCGACTAGATCCATACCAATACGCTCAAAAGGTTTTGTAGAGGTAGTCGTTATTTGCATGGGTGCGCGATTCGTCTGTCTAAGGGCTTTATTACTTTGGCACAATGAACAATTCTTTATATAGGTTTCCACATCTGAACGCATGTTTTTCCAATAGTATTTCTCTTTTATTCTATTTAGCATGCGTGCGGTTCCGAGATGACCTGCTATAGGTATGTCATGGTTGTCGTGTAATATTTTACGTATTTCTGAAAGTGAAGGATATATGAGGCGGTCGTGGTATATCTTAATTTCTATGTTGGTATTTGTGAAAATATAAGAGAACATATTGTAAATTCTGGACCAGGTGTGTTTATCAAAGCTATTACGAAAGTCAGTATAAGCTACTTGAGTTTCGTGTTCTGTGGAAGATGTGGTTGAAAGGAGTAGTATAGACTTAGTATAAAGAAGGCTTTTGAAAATTTCCTCGTAAGTACAGCTATCAAAATGATAGACTTTGGTGAAAAGAAAGTAGATATTTTTCCCGTTAAGTTCAAAGGAAAGACAAGTGTATAGTGTTCTTTCTTTTTGTAAGATTTCAGATGGATCTTGAATTTCACTTAAGATTTGTTCTACGTATGGATTTGATTCGTCGAGGTCTATTGAGGTGGGTATAAATATATGTTTACTACTAGTTTTGAGGATATTGTCATTGTATTCCTGTATTCTAGCATTACTATTAAAGGATTTATTGGATATTGCTTTCAGAAAGCTAGAATAGCTCTCATTAGTGGGAACAGGTGACGCAGGAATGGGTAAGGATGGATTTGTAATTTCTTCGGGATTCTGAGTAATTTGTGGATTTAAAGGATCATTAATTCGAGGTGAATGTTTTTTATCCTCGGGGTTCAAGAGGTCTGTTAAAAGGTCCTCATTATCAAGGAGGTCTACGGATGGTAAGCTGTCAGAGTCAATAGGAATTAGGGGTATTTCACCGAGATCTTCAAGGGTTATTGGACTGAAAGGCTGACTTTGCCTGGAAGTAGAAGGAATGGGATGATCAAAAGGATTTTGTATCGGATTTACCGGGAATCGAGAGAGTGCGTCGGCATTGCTATTTATCTTACCCTTCTTATACTCAATTTTATAATCAAATTCCTCTAACCTTAGTCGCCACCTAACTAACCGGGAGCCAGGGTCTTTGCAGTTAAAAAGCCATTTTAGGGGCCTATGGTCAGTGACGATGGTAAATTTGTGTCCGTAGAGATATGGTCTAAAAGTCTTTGTTCCAAACACGATAGCGAGACATTCCTTTTCTGTTGTCGAGTAATTAACTTCTGCTTTGTTCAGTGTTCTTGAAGAAAAGGCAATGGGTTGATCTTTACCTATCTCGCCCTGGGATAGTATCGCAGATATAGCATAATTGGACGCGTCGCATGTTAGCACAAAAGGATTCGTGAAATCTGGGTAAATGAGGATAGGAGCGGAAATTAATTTATTTTTTAAATCGTCAAAGGCTGCTTGTTGTTCTATTGACCAATTGAACAAAACATCTTTTTTAAGCAGAGTGGTTAACGGTTTAGCAGTTTTTGAGAAGTCTGGAATGAATCGGCGATAATATGACACAAGTCCTAGAAATGACTTCACATCTTTAGGACACTTTGGTACTGGGAATTTGGAAACGGCTTTAACCTTTTCAGGGTTAGGACTAACCCCGTTTTCGCTGATTACATGGCCCAAATATCCGACCTCTCTACGTAGAAATTCGCACTTGTCTGGTTGTAACTTTAAATTATGTTGACGTAATTTACTAAAAATCTTACAAAGCTTGTCACAATGGGAATTTAGGTCATGGGAATAGATGACTATATCGTCTAAGTAGACGTAACAATGTATACCCTGTAATCCTGCTAGCGCAGTATTCATAAGCCGTTGGAAGGTTGCAGGGGCATTCTTTAGCCCAAATGGCATACGTTTAAATTCGAAATGTCCTTGAGGGACAGTGAAAGCTGTTTTAGGGGTATCTTTTTCTGAAATGGATATCTGGTGAAAACCAGAACAAAGATCAAGTGTAGTGAAATATTTACTCTGTCCTAGTTGGTCTAAAATCTCGTTAATCTGTGGAATTGGGTAACTTTCACCTACGGTTATGTCATTGAGTTTTCGATAGTCTATCACGATGCGCCATTTGGTCTCCCCTGAAGAGTCTAATTTCTTAGGTACAATCCAAATTGGGAATGACCAGGGTGAAGTTGAAGGTTTAATGATATCTTGTGAGAGCATTTTAGAAATCTGTTTGTCTACTTCTTTTTTATGAATCTCAGGGAAACGGTAAGATTTCACATTAATTGGCTCAGCGGGATGTGTATTTATTTCATGTTTAAGAAGGTCAGTAGTAGTCAGTTTGTCACCTGGTAAATAAAAAATGTCAAAATATTGCGAACAAATATCGGTTAAGGAGTTTTTCTCTTCATCATTTAAGTGATCAGTTCTTAATAGATTTAGTACTTCTTCCCTACGAGAAATTGTCGATTTAGCAGAGGTGATATCAGGGTCTACTTGGAAGGAATTGACATTGAGGGGTTGTATTCTAACTTTAATATCAGAATCTAAAGTTATTAGTTCCTCCGATGTATTTACTACGGATATATTCACTCGATTATTATTCTTTACAGAAACTATGCAATTGGCTATTAAGAGTGAGTCTGAAAGGTGTTGATCTAAGATTAATCCAACTTTCTGTTCTGGGTTGGAGACAGTGCATTCGATTATCGTCTCACTACGGGGAAATATCTTATACACAGGGCGACTATAATCAATTTTGATAGTGAAGTTCCGGATCTTTAGGACATCGGAATTGTAATCTATAATGCCATCTAAATCATTGAGAAAATCGGTACCTATTATCCCGTCATAACCTAAATCTATTTTCTCTACAACGTGAAATCGATAAGCGAGATCTGTGTCAATGCCTACAAATAATTGAAGTTGAAAATGACCTAAAGTAGGTACGGTTTCGTTATTGGAATTTATTCCCTTGAGTTGGATTATATCATCTACGAGATTTGGCATAGACGTGATCGAGGTTTTCTTTATCAAACTTACGCAGGAACCTGTATCAACAAGAAATATAAGCGGTTGTTGATTGACTTGGGTATTGAGACTAACATGAGGTAAGTATCTTTTCTGTGAATTTGTTGTTACTTCGTAGACTGGATAATTTCTTTCTGTTCTAAATGACTCGTCTTTTGTAGGTATTATTGGAGTAGGACAAGGACTCGGAGTATGTTTCTTATTTTGGAGTTGGCTAACAGATTTTGCACATGAAGATTTAGTAGGTTTCGAAACATTAGTGTCAAATGTAACATGTTTAGTAAGTAGGCTGGACGTGGAGGACACAAAAGGATTGTTTATTTTTTGCTTTGTAGTAGAACCTTTACAAGTTCGAGATTCATTAGACACGGTGGGGGAATTCGATGCAGAGGATACGGAGGATACAGTGGATACAGTGGGTTTTTTATTCAGAAACGATTCAGTGATTCCCTTTCTGCGAGGGGATACAGAGGATTCAGTGGATACAGTGGGTTTATTATTTATAAACGATTCAGTGGTTCCCTTTTTGCGAGGGGATACAGAGGATACAGTGGATACAGTGGGTTTATTATTAATAAACGATTCAGTGGTTCCCTTTTTGCGAGGGGATACAGAGGATGCAACTTGTGCATAGGACTTGGCTCTAGATACAGTGGAAACAGAGGAATTGTGGGTGCCATAATTATGCCAAGACCGATTTTGATTTAAGACTTTGGGTCTCACAGGGCACCGCTGTGAGTCCCTTATTCGTTTAAATGATCATCCGTCTCGTCTTGTCCGCGTTCATCATCTGCTAGGTGATGAACCCTGTTCTGGTGAGGAAATTTCGTTGTACGACTTGTAGCGGGGCGTTGGAAGTTGTTGTTGCTGTTATTGGCGTCGCTAGCACGGTTGAAGCTACTACGATTGCGATTATTATTATACTCACGTTTTCTACAATTTTCGATTACGTGTCCCGGGAACTTACAGTATCGACATATGGGAGCCGGTTGCTTATTTAAATTATGTACAGGGCGTCCGTCACGCATAGGATAGGATTTGAGATTTTGTTTATAGTTCTGAGACGCTTTAGTTTCTAAAAGCATTTGCATTTTTTCCTCTAAAATAGCTTGATTAGTGGCCTCATTGAGGCTCTGTGGGTTTTTCATTCTAACAAAATTAGAGATTTTAGGGGTAAGGCCCATTATAAAACAATGTAACGCCAATTCTTCCATAGCGGATATCTTACCAGACAGTTCGACCTTTTTCTTATTAGATAGTGAGATCTCGGTTAGTAATTTATAAAGGCTAGATTCCACTCTCAAGGAGTATTGGCTAACCGATTCGTTAGAGAGCTGTTGGCTCTCTTGTAGGTCTAACAATAAATGTGCATAATGCTTGCGCTCTCCAAATTGGGATTGTAAAAATTGGCTCAGCTGTTCCCAGCTTTCAAAGTCTTTAATGGACGCAGCGGTTTCGGCTTTGTTTTCGAGTTGGCATAGTATGTAATTTAGCAAAAGGGGCTTTTGACTTTGAGAGGCTAATTTAAAAGCATTATCGCAATTATTTATGAATGAACATAACTTATCACGAGATCCGTCAAAAGGTTTTATGAACTTTAACAACACACTTGTCTCTAATTTTTCGGACATACTGCTCTCAGACCTTAATTCGACATCCTTCTTTGTGGACATTTTAACCAAATTTAGAATTTATATGAGAAATATATGCGTAAATGGGATGCGCTAAGATAAGTAGCAATATTTAGAAATATTAATTCGTCGAATTAGAGTCTGTTGTTATGGTGTAACTAATACAGTTTTATCTTATTATAAACAATGGCGAGACTGGAGCTTCCTCTCGACGCGACGCGAGACAGATAACACTGGATAATATAGTTATTAAAATTAAATCACTTACAGGTTCAGGAACATAATAATATAATATGCAATATGCATAATTGGCAATTAGCCGATTTTACTGCACTTAAAACACTTTCGTTTTTTTTTTTTTTTCACTTCTGGGTATAGCACTATTTTTCACTTTAAACTTTGCACTTTCGAATTTAGTTTCTTTTTTCGGAACTGGACTTTTCCGCGGAGGGTACACGAGATTTATTAAAAATCCCTTTTCGCTGCCACCAATTGTTACACAGAACAATAATAAGATCTTTTTAAAAAAAAGATTTAATGAATTCAATTACAAATATATTGATTTAGAAATACAAAGGAAGTAGTATTAAAAATTAGCACGTCTGATCGGACAGGAGCTAGGAGATCGACTGAATGGATGGGAAATGAGAGGTTGTTTGTGCATGGGAAGAAATGATGACGAGGATAGGGCTTAGGGTATGTCAGCAATATAGGATGCAATGGGGAGTTGTAACGCTCCAATAATACAACGTAATAGTTGGTTATCCCTTTTTAAGATAGTCGATGAATACTGTTTTGATTTTCACTCGGCTTAGTAGCATAATATTCATTAGAACAAAAATAGAAACGTTTGAATAGGTTATGAGATAATATGAATGTTACCTAATAGGCTTCTTTCGTTGTTAATGGGATTGTAAACTTCATCAGACTGGCGTATTTTTACGATGGCCGCCTCAATTGGGAATAGACAAGTTTTAGACTCTAAAACTAACAGAGCGGTCAGTTTTTCTAACGAATGTCGGAATTGTCCGAAAATCTAGTTTCATTTCTGTGCAACCCTTTCTTTCTCTGAATAATGAATATGTCCTCAATACTTATGTAAAATAACAGATATCTGGGATAGAAAACAGGGAATGTCAAATTAAGGATTACTATATATATGTTAGGTTCAATATATCTATTTCTTATTAACGATATAATTGAAGTGACAAACACAACACTAATAAAAATATCGCTCTAATTTCAGTTTTAACTGTTCACACTGTACAGTCTCTTTTCATCGCAGCGTAAACACAATTTGACAGAGGGAGATGAAAGAACACTTTAGTTCGAAATAAGACTGAATTAGAATATTTCAGCTTTAAAGCTAAAATAAAATTATAGATATAACGAAGAAAATTTCCAAATTCTAAGGATAAGATCTGACTTCCGATAAAAATGTATTGGATTTTGATTTACGGGAGTCAAGATTTCTTAGAAATCTCCTTATAGGTGTATATATACATATATATATATAATATATATAGTATATACACATGTAAAAAGTAAAAACTTAAAATTGTATATGTAATATTTTTATATTTTACCAGCTGGCCTGGCGAACATCGTACCGCCTAATAGTCGATTCTTTATTTTTTTTACATACTTATTCTGCTATTCGGGACACCGATCTAGCTAGTAAGATAAAAAAAAGTTGATAAGTCAATTATGCCAAAAAATAAAAATTTACCTTCCCGGAACCCCTCCTCTAACACATGAACTTTATGATATGGTATTAAAGTTCAAATTGACTTTTAAGTATTATTACGAATATTTTGTATGGGAATATAGAAAAGTGTTGTTTTTAGACTTTTTCACTCAATTTTTTTAAAATTTTCTCGTAAGAACCATCGTTCGTACTTCAAGGAATAGTATAAAAAAAGAATTGGCTAAATTGGTCCTGGCGTTGTTGAGTTATGCGCTTACCAACACATTTTGCGATTCATTTTTATATTATAGATTTTTTGTATCTTTTATGTTTACCATAATTATCGTGTATTTTAGAAAAGCTTGTAACATATACTGTAGATATAGAATTATATATGGTGAAAAAATAAATAAATAGTTGCTAAGTTATTACTTTGATACAACTAGCAAGTGATTGCAAACACCCTTCTTAGACCATGAGGGCATATCCCTTCTAAAGCATTGTATTTATCGTGAGGGTTACTTTTATTATCCACCATTCATCTGTGACCCCTCATACACCATTCAGAATTCATCCCACAATGTACACTTACAAGGCACTACCGCATTGACGGTCCTGGATAAAATGGTCGACGTAAGTATTGAACGATATGCGAATTAATGGTTGGCGTTGTAAATTGATTTTCCGAATCGAATAACATATTTAAGTTATAGCTACGGGTAATAATGGTAATGTGATTAGGTATATTGTAATTACTATCTACTATATATTGAATGTTAATCTTCTAAATTTTACGTTGTCTTTCCGTACTGACTGTATAACTAATTAACTTTATTCTGCTTCCGCCCATACCGCCATGGATACTCATACTGCCGTTATAGCTGTGCGTTGCCGGCTTTTTAGTACATATATCTTAAAGGACCCTAAGTCCAATTGGTTTGGTACTTCAGTGGGTAGCTGGTTCCAGTAACTGCTTAAAAAACGCTCAGATGTCGAACAACGAATGACTATATGAAAAGTATAGTAAATATATTAATTTATATGTGTATCTTCTTAGTATATTGTATTTGTGTGTGTATTTATTGGAGTGTTTAAGCTAAAAATAACAAGTTAAATTATTAAAAACAGAAAATGACTAGCCCCTTTTATATACTTACTCTTCTAAAATGATTTTATAATATTTTGTATAGGTACATTGATTTGATAATACTAAAAAACTACTATACTAAAATAAAATATATAGTTGCAATATTTACAAATATTGCAACTATAGATATACCTAAACTTCAAAACACTTCGTAAAAACTATCTACTTACTATAATAGAGACTTGGCGTGATCTATGACATATGTCAAAATCCTATACATTTTCATGCAGGAGTCAGGCTAACGTTTTTGAATCTTACCCATGGTTTTTAATACAAATAACATATTTAATAATGGGTGTACAATAAAGCAAAGAAAATAAGATGAATGTATATAACAAATTGTATAACGCTCTTATGAACCAATAGTTATAGACGTATAATAAAGAAACAAAAACTTTATAACACGTAATAAAAAAGGATGTACAGTTAAAAGAGAAAGTGCACTAGGATTCACTGTGTCGTGCGCTAGTCTGTTCAATTTAACATACTTATGATTACAGGTACTTAAAGTATTAAATTCTACATAAAACTTTGTATTACTGTATGAATGTATATGTACAAAATATCTTATATAATCTGTATTTCATTCGAGCCTTGATAAACGAGCTAGGTCTGGATATCCATAGAAGCTTCCCTCATACTTTGTAATCGATTTTCCTTTTCCTTTAGTTTTTATGATTATTTTTTATCTGTTCGTGTATGCCTTTAAGTGTTTGTCACATTAAATATTGGATTTTATTTTTCTTGTGCCAATGTATCAGTGTGTCGAGCCTTGAGAAACTTTTATAAATAAATTAAAAAAAGCAGACTTCACTCTTCTAGGTATTTTATTTACATATTTTGCCGGTAATTTATAAATAAGATCGTGAATTTTTGGGGCTACCAAAGGAATCAATCAGTTGAACTATCTTTGATAATACTTTAATATTTCACTCAAAATATCTTGGAATAGACCGTTTAAATAAAACATTAAATTTAATTTAAAGCCCCGTCGCAAAAGGCATGGCGTGTTAGTTTTGACGTGTTCGTGTGTCTGTCTTAAGCTCTAAACGATTAGACTATGTTGCGTTTTTTATAGAAAGGTGACTTGATGGAAAGAGTTTCAAGGCTTTTTTGTTAGCTGCGGAAGAAATATCGGGTTTTTTATTATTATTATACAACTAAATATTTTATACATAAAGGTACTAATTACGAGGTATAACGTTCTAATAACGTATTTTCTAATGTTGTTTCCGTTTGTCACGCCTGTCCAAGTGTTAAACTGATTATGATGAAATTTGTCTCTGTTATTTTGGGCTAATCATTAAACACGTAATTAAAATACTTGTAAAACAAGTTAATTTTTATGTTAAAACCAAAGATTACAACCCTTTCCTAAGCAGTCGTACACTAGAACTATTCGTCTCTATCTGTCAATTGTGTTTATGCTGAGAAAGAAAGAAACAGCTATGCTTTCGCTAGCGTAATAAAGCTGATTAAATGTTTATTTGAATAAAGCGCATAATCTATGGACAACTAGTATTACCAAAGACAAAGTAAATTGTCTTAAATTTTAAATTTAGAACAATCGTAACGTTATGTAACACTTTCGGTGTTGCATATTTTGTTGTAACAATTACTAAGAACAATTTTAATCTGAAAACTTTTTCGTTTGTTTCCTGGAGTTTACTACTTTATGCTGCTTCACAAGATTTGTTTCCTAATGTTTTTAAGATTTTGTAAAGAGAAAGATCGTTTTAACTCATTTTATTTTATGAAGTCTACATTAAGAATGTATTTACATAGAATTTAAATAGCTTTAATGTCTAAGAAAGTGCAAAAATTATGTTAATACAACCAAAAATTACTGTGAAGTTACGAGGTAAGAAGGTAAAACATAACTATACCTACTGATTGTTATAGTCTATATATGTTAAATACTAATACAACTATTATGTAATCAATTTCGTAAGAGTTAAAGAAATTTCTGTCGCGATATTTATAACAAAATAACAGTAATAAACGGTAAATACTTAATTATTGAGGTAATCTTTGTAAAACGGATTATAATACACAAGAAAAAAGTAAAATTTAAAATAGCATAAGGATCACTTTTAATTTACCATCGTCTCAATAGATGGCGCCACGTGCTTGTTAATAACAGTCTGATCTTATCGGGGCCTTTATCATTTCCTCAGTTCAACATTGTTAATTGGCTGGTAAAATGTA